ATCAGTATCCCCCAGTGTGAAAGGTGTCGCTCTGCCAAAGGGTCACTGGCATATCTTCTTTGGTTCTGCCCGACACCGAGCATCTTTTGGACTGCAATCTTCAACTGGCTCTCTAAATCTTATTCCAGTGACATTAAGCCTAATCACAGCCTGCTAATTTTTGGATGCTCTGCAGAGACTTCTGAACTGTCGCCTGATTTACAGAATGCCCTGCATCTTGGAATGGTGGCTGCTAAGAAACTCACTCTCTTGACCTGGAGGTCCACCACTCCACCCAGTTTTGAACATTGGCTAAAGGACATGTCTGTTACACAAATGGAAAAACTCGGCCATCACAACTCCACCACACTTAACAAATAAGAGAGGACATGGGGACCTTTCCTGGTACAAATCATCCACATAAAGATTTGGATTTGTTATATTATACAATAGGGCATGGAGTTCAACTTTATATGCCTAGCTGTGTTGCTCAATTTTAGTCTTAAGATATTATTGCATTAGGATTGTGAGAGACAGTTCTCTAGTTTTCTGTCTTCATTTTTAACTGTCTGGCAGCCTTTCCCCTGTTTTTTTTTTTTTTTTTAAACAAAGAAATAAACAACCTCACAGCTCAGCAGAAATAAGGCTTTACAGAATACTACTGAGTAGTGTACGTAGGAGTATTACATGTGCTTGATGTCCGAGAAAGAGAAGATGGTGGTGCCATAGGCGTTGTCATCTTGGCCCAACCCGTCCTCGTTAGGCCTCTCCTCCACCTCCTCTTGCTGCTGGTCTGTGTGACTCCTGTGAGGTGGAGTGTGTTACAATACAACATTAAATTTGATATACACATACACCAGAGATATCACTATACAAACACAAAGCAAAGTGTGTGGAAAATCAAATCAACACCAGTTCTGAAATCTTCTGAATGCTAAAAAGTAAGAAAGAGTCAAAAAAAAAAGGTTTGTCAAAAAGTAATTGAATTTCAAGTATGTGGTCTTTACCTGAAGGAAATAAAGTTGGTGTAGCAAAGGATGGGGCAGAAGAAGGTGAGCAGGAGCCTCCACACCTCTGTGTTCTTCTTCATGTCACCCCACCAGATCTGGGACAACAGAGACTGGAGGAGAAGTAACAGCTTGTAAATGAAAAGCAAACAAATGAGATGATTTCAGTTTCTCTTTACAAGTTATGGCAGAGTGGAATTTGAAAGTAATGAATGTTACTTTGTATGGCCCTTACCGCAATACAAAGAGAATCAGGTTTAACCCACATGTACTTGTAAACATAAACGCAAAGTAAACATAAATGGAACTGGTTAAACTGGCACAATATAGTCAAAGACTTAGATCCATTGTCGTCTTTGATACCATATCACACTGGTGTGTAAACACTGACACACCTGTACGCCATCATGGCTGAAGAAGAGACGTGCATCAGCACCCACTCCCATCTGGAGGCAGGTGGTACCGCTCCAAACTGGAGATTTCCTAATCAGCAGCGTGAAAGAGCGACTCTCATTGTTCCGATAACAAGAGCTGAAGATGTCTAAGAGGAGGAAAAGGTGTGCAGAAAAGGTCTGGTTACATGGCTGCCACTTAGAAAATAAAAATGAAAGTGACTACGAGGAAACAATAACGCAAAAGAAAAGCAATTCTGAAAATCAACTATCATACAATGGTCATGCATGCAATGCTTCATTTGAGGCAGAATTTAAATATCTACTTATTACCATTAGCAACATAAAGACTAAACTGCTAAATAACTCATGTGTCACATAATTTACTAATAAAGAGTGGCCAACTTAAACTGAGTAGAACACTGTGATATTTAATATCTAATCATCACTTAGACACCCTTCTTTAATCAGTTGTTGTTTAAATAAACATTAGTGGATGATGTATTCAGTGTCTCACCATGTGCCAGGCTCTCAAACTTCTGGGCCAGCTCTTTCATTGACAGTTTGGTCTCCGTTTCTATCTCCAGCTTAGACAGCTCTCTCAGGATCTTACAGCCACTCAGAGCACTCAGCACCGACTCACCTGCCTGGAAGACACAGAGGGATGTCAGAGAACTTCTTTTTCACAGGTACTAAAAATCTATAGTTTTTGCAATTATATTAATAGTCACTGTCAAACATTTTGTCCCCCTGTCAAGTTATCCTGATTCAGTTATGTGCTCTTTTTAAACAGTTTGAACATCAGAGCATATTCTTGCTTTCTGTAAGTGCCAGAGGTTTTACCATCTCCCAGAAGAAAGTGGCCATCTCACTGCGGTTCTGCAGCACTGCCCAGATGAAGAGTGAGTGCCAGGGGAAGAGGCAGGGCTCCTTCCGGTAAGAGCGGTCTCCACGCAGTAGCTTACTGGCTTGCTGGGATGAATGAAAAAATTAAAGAGAAGGAATATCAGACAACAATGGTTTATTAGCTTTGAGATACATTGGGGCCATTTTATTATGTCAACATATTCAGAGGTTTGGAGTACCCTAAGAGCACTCCTCTTGGATGGAAACTTGTCTAAGCCCAACACATCATAGTAGAATGGCTGGCAGACATCACTCATCAACAGCTCCAGGACCCCTGACACCTGGGTAAAAAGGGGGTCAAGAAATAAAAACAGGATTAAAGGTAAATACAGTTTTTGTTCCACATCATTTCTGAGTTGACATAAAAAAAAAAAAAACAGGCCAAGGCATAGATGTCTTATTCAAAAATAAAGACACCTCAAAGAGGCTGATCTCCGTCGCTGGCCCGCTCTGTATGTTCTCTGCTCCAACTTTGGAAGGTGAGTCCTTCTGGACAGACAGTGTAGGCGCAGGTGCTGTAATTCTTAGCCGTTCTCCTAGGCAGCGCCGTAGCAGTTGGTAGAGAAGCGTCCCCTCGGCTACTGAGCAGTAGAGATTTTCCAGCCTGTCATAAGTCAGGTAGTCCAGGATGCTGAAGCCATTCTCAGTGAAAAGACGCACAAACTGAGGCTTGTCATTGATTAGGGCATCAGTCATAGAGTCTTCCAATTCTTCATACTATGGGATTGGGTCAAGATCATTTGTTAAGCAGGTTTCACTCCAAAGACAAAACTTATATAAACAATGCCACTGCACAGCAGGATTAGTGTGTTTTAATTGTCCAAAATGGTACAATGCACTACACATACTGCAATGCATCTAGCCTGGTAGTATTTCTCTGACTGTAACATCTGATGTGATAACTTTCCCCTTTCACCTTCCAGTGAATGTCTCCATTGAAGAGTTCACTCTTAGCGATGTCAACCCTATTCCATGCAACTGCTAGCTTCAGCTCTTCACTATAAGGGCTAGCATCAGCTGCCACGTGCTGTTTACTAGCTGAAAAACACAGAGTTACACCACAAAGACTAAAATAAAGACATGTTGTCACCTAAAATATTTGCAAAATTCATAAACATTGATTAATTGTGTGTACCTCCCACCAGTGTTTTGAGCAGGACTGTGTCAAAATCATTTGGGCTCTCCTGCTCTCCATGGTAGACTGTAATCAAGTCTCTGTTCTGGCAGATGCTCAGAGCCTGGAGACCCACAATAAAGAGACAGAAATCAATTAAATTTAGAATAAATGACCACAGATTTGTTCATACTAATAAACTGATTTTAAAAAGGAAAGTGATGTAAAATGATTTGGTGGCAAAATACAGTGGTGTGAAAAAGTGTTTGCCCCCTTACCGATTTCTTATCTTTTTGCATGTTTGTCACACTGTAATGTTTCAGATCGTCAAACAAATTTATATATTAGTCAAAGATAACACAAGTAAACACATCATGCAGTTTTTAAATGAAGGTTTTTATTATTAAGACTGCATGATGTGTTTACTTGTGTTATCTTTGACTAATATATAAATTTGTTTGACGATCTGAAACATTACAGTGTGACAAACATGCAAAAAGATAAGAAATCAGTAAGGGGGCAAACACTTTTTCACACCACTGTATACTGTCAAATCCATGATTTCATTAAGTGCTTCTTATTTTCAGCTACCATAAACTAAAAAAGCGACAAACTCAATCACGACCACTGTGAGGAGGAAGCCGGTTTCTATGCTGAATGACAGACTGAGACCGAGAACGGCCAAGATCCTTAGTGAAGCACAAGCCCGTGTTTCTCACAAAATTATAATTGCAACTTATCAAAACCACTCAACTACAGTCTTACTGTTGCTGCATAACAAAAAAATTGGATTTCCATGAATTTAGTGATGACTACATTTGAAATGTAGCATTAAATAATTTCCAGTGACAAGGTTGTTGTTCAATAAATCTGAAGAAGTCTACTGTATACATCCTCAACAAAACACACTGGACACTAAATATACATGGTAAAACAATGCCCACAGGCCTTCCACTTTGACAATGAACGTCAAAATCCAAATGATGCGTCTCCATTGACAGCTCTTACCTGTTCAACTAGTTTGTCAGTCTCCGCTTCAGAAGGAAAGTACTTCTTAACCCGTTCTGCCACTCTCTCTTTCAGATCCACACAGGGACCCGCCTCACCATCAACCTCACTGGAAGAATGGACCACTGAGGCCGACAAAAACTTCTCCAAAATGTCACTCAAGAAGTCAGCCAAGCCCCCTGAGCCAGCCAGTACCAGCCAGGGTATGGAGTTTTTCAGAGAAAGATCAACTCTCTGACATAAGAGAAAAGAGATTTCTTTATGGAATGCAAAGGTATAAAAATAGATTGTTATTAAAACTAACCAAATATTTCTTTGAATGTAAAAAGCAGTGACTGTACCTCCAGCATGTTTGCTTCCCCTGATATCAACATACAAAGGACAGGGATGTCAATGCTGCCGCTGCCTAAAAAAGTACAAACATTTTTACACATTTCTAGAGTGCATTGGTAAATTAGTTGCTTACAGTGACATCATGATCATGTTTGCAAACTTCAAACAATTAATCCTGCATATTTCTTCTAATGCAAGAGCTGAGAGGGGAAGAAAGAGGAGCCAGTTAAATTTCTTTCCAGTTTTTTTTTTTTGTTACATAAATCTCTGCTTGATTTTACATGTTTAAGAGCAGTGTGTCAAATTCCTGCAGTAGCATGCAATGGTATTCATTCAGCAGACACCAAAGGATAATATTAAAGGATCACCACAAGAGTGAAATCAGAGTTGAATGTAAAACAACAAGCTCATGGTTGTAAAACTGTTTATGTTGTAACAGAAAAGAAGTTGAAGATCTGCTATTTAAGTTAGGTACAATCTTGAGCTGTCTTTAGGTGAATGTAAGATTAGCCCAGATTATGTTAACACTCTTCATGCATGTATACTGGTTTCCCATATCCAGTTGTACCATCAAAACCAGTGAAGGAACTACTATTTCCCCCTATGTCTTTCAGTCACCGGTATCATACCTCAGCTCTGTCCAAGCAAGCAATGTCTTCTCATAACATGATTCTCTATATAACAGTGTAACCTAGTGTTATTCTGCCATCTCTCACCCCAGATTCCTGTGCGCTGATGGGAGATGTAGTCCTCCAGTTTGGCCCTAAACCCCGTTTCTCCTCCTCTGCGTCCTACAGTCCCATTGTCCACCAGCAGGAAGGCCTGATAGTTGTTGTCCAGGCAGCAGTAGTCCTGGGACGTGTTGTGAACATTGTACTTAGCAGGTAGGCTGCCCTGTAAAAGGATCCAAAACAGGTTACTGAAGGGTTTCTTCCACTAAAGGTAAGAAGCAACAGTGCACTGGAGGCCTCAGTTTGGTTGATAGTGTTTCAAACTGGGACTCCAGATTGTGAAGGTGAAAAAAACAGTTGCTTCTGACAGTATTCACACTTGTTAAATATTTGCACACTTTGTAATCTCAATTTCATTTTAAAATAGATGTAACTGTCTATAAAACCCATCAATCCACAAAGTTGAAAACCTATTCAGAAATTTTTGCAAATATATTACCCATTCCCATGTACCCAATCAGTGAGCCTGATATACAAGACGTGATCATGATACATTTTAGAGGGTCAAGAAAATTGTAAATATGTAAGAGCTTGTACAACCTGGGGGTTAACCAGCTGCTGTCGGTTGTGCACCAGGCCCCAGGGAGTAATGCCCAGTGCCACTACTTTATTCAGGGAGACTGACGAGGCTGCAGTAGCATGATCCCTCACTGCCTTTCCAACACATCTCCCTACACCTTCTCGTAGGCCTGATGTGAGGATCCACGCTCCTGGGTGGGAAATTTAAGACAAAAAGAGATGCTGTTTGGTTGTGGATTTGCTTCTTAGGATGGAGAAATAACATTTTTTTGTCCTGTTAATAGCTGGAATTTTTTTATGACTGAATAATGGCATGTCATAACAACCTCTACAGTCATAAGTAAATCACTATGTTACATTTCACCAACTTACACAACCAGAGAAGAGTCAGTACATTTTAATGCATAAACCTTCCTTCATCCCTTTGCCTTTAATATTTCCTCCTAAGGATTTATGGCCAGTTCTGTTGTGTGTCTTTATAAAGCTGAAGTTCAACAAGAGTCATACAGTACAGTATCTCTTGACAGACATCTATATTTGCAAGTTTCACAGATGGTTCAAAATGGAACCGAATCACATTAGAAAGAAAAGAAACCAAAACCAGAAGGAAACCAAAAGAATGGAAACCACAATAGCAGAGCAGAGATTGATGCATACTTATCTGGAAATACAGTGGTTTGAAAGTTGCTTTAAGGGGAACTACTGGTGTATATACACCACAGTAAAGCACACTACTACTGTATTTCTCTCACTACTCGACCATAAGCTTTTCTTATCCAACAACTGTTTGTACTCAGGCCAAGCAGCAGCAGCGCCTGAATGTTTGGCATGTGTCTTATTATCTTTGCTTTGATCTGTGGCAGCAGAAAGTTCTGGCACAGCTTCACCCACTGCCAAGGTGCACAGACAAGGAAAAAACAAACTGCAAAACAAAAAGACCAGCAACATTTACAGTGTTTTGAGGAACTTTAATAAAAAGACCAACATGTTTCAGCATGAAGCCTCCGTCAGGGTCTGTTAAAAGCACACAACAAGAGCCCTATAAATAATACAAATATTAAAATAAAAACCTTAAAAACAACCAGTCACATACAAGCTCATACATGTTAGCCAATAAAAAAACATGCACATAAGTGGGTCAAGTACATGGTCACGTGGCCAAAAGCCAAACATATTCAAGGGCCAAATTGACAGAGGAGCACCAGATGTGTCTAATAACTGACACGGCTTGATCTGTGGCCTCAGAGAAAAGCTAGTTAAAGTGACTTCAGATGATGGGAGATCAGTACCAGGATGTGCCACCTACACTTGGCACAGTGGTGCCAAACCACCCCACAGAGTCATGCAGTGCAATGATACTATGTTTTGTAACAGCGGGATTTTTCCTGCTAAAAACCCTCATGAGTAGGTTCTGTGTATTCTAAGAAAGTCTGAGAGGATTTGAAGTCATGCAGACCGTCTATGAAAACCCCAAGCAAAAAGACAGGAAACTGAAAAGTATGTCAGTCTTTAGGTTCTAATCTAAATTACAGAAGTATCGGGTTTAAACGGTACAATCACAGAAAAGACCTCAAGGGACCTAATGTAAATATAATTAAATACTGCTATACAAGAGCATCAATTCAGGCTGAAAATCATTTGTTGGGTGTAAAACAGGACTAGAAACGAGCACTTTGATATTCTATATGTGCTAATTGAACAAACTGACACAAAGGACCCAACGCAGCTTTAGCCAAGCGTCTGTGCCCAAATTCAAGTAGTTACATCAGTAAAAACAATTTTCTCATATGTGAAATGAGAAAAATCTGGACAATCATGACAAGATATGATGGTGAACTCAAGCAAACTGATATTACCCAGATAGTGTAAATACTATATATGGGTTTGACAATACAGGTGGCTTGAAAGTCATGACCCACATTCATAGCAGTGTTTGAAGTGGTGATTTAGTTACTTTGAGTCACTGTTTACTTTTCATGTGTTTACCTGTGCTCTGTGAGGCTTTCACCAGCCCTTGCCTGAGGACCTCCCGTACCCAGGTCTTCAGCTTTGTGCTGGTTTCTCCGCCCACCACCGAAACAACCAGATTGGGCGTAGGTAGACCCCAAGTGCCTGTCATGAGGGTGTAGACCATAGATGGGGGTGTGTCCGATGACAAGCGCAGGAACTGAGGTCCCAGTGAAAGACAAAAAATTAAACATTTGAGATTGATTCAAACACCATTTTTGTATGAAACACACGCTAAATCATAACACAAAGGGGCTCTGAGATCCTTAGGAAGCAGTCAGCTGGTCAAACCTTGGGTCAGACCCAAAGAGGGTGAAGCTGTTTTTAGCCACTATGCTGCACACACATGACCCATTCAGAGAACATTTATCAGTTTGACAGAAAAGCACCCACATAGCTTTGCCTCTTGCTGGCTCCTGAAAACTGCAGCTCTCCAAAGGCATCTGTCGGGTATTCAGAGGAATGCTGGGTGCTGTTCCATTGGTTAACAATCGCTGTGCTGAAATAGTCACCGAGCGCCACAGTGCCATGGGCAGTTCTCACACCCCCACACTGGCAGAACATGCCATTACTGCAAGAAGGGAGAGGATAATACATCAACATGGAAACATGACCATCTTATACAATACATCACCACAGTCATTAGAGGGGTATTACTATCACAAAGGAGTGTGCTCCACAGAGTTCACAGTACCGGAAAGAATCCTCTACAAAGGTGGTGCAGACTCTTTTCTTGAAGAGCTTGGGGATCCAACTCTGGAAAGAATTTCAGCAAGTTAATAAACAAGTTCATACATTTTATATACAGGCTGTTTATTTCTGGAAATCGTGTGGCTTCAGGGTCTAGAAAACTCTGTTCTGTGACTCAGCTTAGTTTATCAAGCCAGTATTACATGTACACTTTATAGATGATATCATCGTTGTCAGGTGCATTTATAATGATAAATGATCAGAAACCTATGATTTATGAATGTTTAAAGAGGTCAATGTCTTAGACTTGGTGGAAGTAGACTGGCATTGACTTGCAGAGCATATGAGAGGAGCGGAGCGTTGAGTCTTTCTGCCCCTCGCTCATGGAGCTGTTTGCCCACTCCACTCCCCCACTCAAAGCTGCACCAGGCAGCAGTGCTCATTATCGCTCAGCGCTCAACTCAGATTGCATCCCGCTCCACTCAAATCGCACCCACACACTCCAAAAAAGGGAAAAAATCTGCATGCCTTTCACTTTTAGCATAAACCTTAGTCTTACATCCCAAAGAACGACAGCTACTTTTTCCCCAAACACAAATGATTTATTTCAAATTACCATTAGGCCTACAGTCTGTAACAAGGAACAGAACACAAGATGTTATATGTATAATTCAACAAATCAGTGGGCCCAATTAAATAAAAATATACAGTACACCTGTATGACCTTTCAGTTTCCTTTTTAAAGTACATTAGGAACTCCATTATTGAGCTTGCAACAGCAGATTTTTGACTGAAAAGTGTTGGATGACTGTTCAAGACACAGATGCATTCTGGGTCAGGCTTGGGCATGCTTCAGGCTTATGGTGTGAGCAGTACTGGAGGGAAATTGGAGCGGGACACAGGGTGATGCTCTCTCCTCTTTTTAGAAAAGGCGCTCTGAGCTCCGTCCATAATCCGCCCGCTCGTCCTCTGCTCACAGGCTCTGTTTACTTGATACAATTAGCCTGAACTTCTCAAGGAGTCGTTAGTTCATCTCTAAATATTTCTAAAATCAAATTCTTTATTGCTCTTTATCTGTGTTTTTTTAAGAACAGCAGAGACAGTTGGGCTATACATAAATATTTTGCTAAAATGTATTTTGAAATGTGGAATTGTAAATGTCTGATGTCAAATTAACTTTGCCCCTGATCCAGATCCAGGATTTTAGGATGCGTTTTGCATTGTTCTGGATATCATTTTTCACAAGGGACCCATTTGTGTGAGCGAATGTTGTGCCTTGGTGGAGGTACATGTGCTCTCTGAATGTTCTTGTTGCACATGTTAACACACACTTTGCATGCATGTTAACCAGCTGAGCCTGATGGCTTGCTATACAAAGCCTCAGCATTCAGCCTACGATCACTAAATATCACAGCACTAGAACTGGCAACGCTAAACAGAATGCAACCATTTAAATGTTATTAGTTATACACCAAGGCTGTAGCTAAAAATATGCTGTAAAAACAATGCCAACTTTTAACTTTATCTTGCTTTTATCCTCTAGAGGTTGGTATTAATGGTGGCTGTGTTTGTTACCACTAATGGAGTGATCACTGCAGCTAATATTAATTGGCTTGTACCCTACGTTAATCTCAGTAAGTACACACTCCTAGCTTATTATGAGTATGCACAGTGGTGGAAAGTAACTAAGTACCTTTAATAAGCAAATACTGCACAATCTAGAGGTTTCTATACTAAGTATTTTTATTTTCTACTACTTCATACTTTAATTTCACTACATTTCACAGCACTACATCTATTTATTCTCTTTAGTTACTAGTTATTTTTCACAATCATATTAATAATACAACATACAAGATTGTTGATTCCTGGTGGAAAAATCATAAACTACCCAGCAGCATGTTAATGAAGTCCTATGATATGATAGTTAAAAAATAGCTCCACCTTTACCAACATTAAATGTTATGTCCACTAAAATTTACGTGTAACGTGGCATTCTGCATAATAGATAGTCTACTTTTACTTTGAGTACTTTAAGTATATTGATGCTTTTGTACTCTCACTTAAGTAAGATTTTATACAGGACTTTTACTTGTAACAGAGTACTTTTACACTGTGGAGCTGGTAGTTTTAATTAATTAGAGAATTTGAATCCTCCTTCCACCATGCGCTCGTCTTTGTTTTGAAATAAGACAGCTAACTTTAAGTAGAACTATGCTGTCAGAAAGCTTTTTTATCCAAAGCCAGCCACAGGGGCCGACTGGGCTAGTTTCTGTTAGTGTGTGCATGGATGTGTTGTTAAACTTCCCATACGTTTTCTGCAACAAAGCTAGTTTAACTTCCGCTTGTTTGACAAATATGTCACCAAGCAGAAATCAGCTGGCCTGAGTCATAGCTGGGTCAAAATGCGAGTCTGTATACACACACAACGTCATATTACCTTTGGTTCTCCAAGAGCAGACCCTAAATTGTGTGTATAATATTAGTTACACGACAGTTTAAAGCGCTTCCCGAAGTAAGCAAAGGTTTGTCCGCCGTCATCTCGCGACACGTCCACGGGGAATAAATTCCAGCTACAACTTTCAGGAAAATCTCCCCTTAGTAAATTTCTCCCTCTTAACATTTTCGCAACTTTGCCATCAAACCTTAGAATCACAACAGCGGCTACATAGTTTTATGAAAAGCCTACCCAGTCTTTTTCAGATTTAGGACTTTTCTCCCCGCCGCCGGCTCCTTCTCTTCGTCTTTCGGTGTCTTTCATGCCTTTTCCCCTGCTGTACATTTCAGTAAGACAAAGGAGACTTCAGGGTTTCTGTCTGCCCATGCTCCATTATTTGATGGAGTCCTAAATTAAATACACCAAAAACAAAGAAACGCTATTTCCGAGCGGAGTGTATGTGTAGGGCATTCCTTGGAATCACACAGGTGAGGGTGTGGTTTGACAGTTGGCGGACGAGTTGCAAACGCCGTCCTCCAAAATAGGAGTGTACATTACCAAACAGACATTTCATTCCTGGGTTAGTGTCCGGCTTTTTTCAGAGAGCCGGGTCATTTGGCTGAGCTCTGGAATAGGCTCAGGCTCCCAAACGGATCTTCATTTAGTACTACTTCTGGCTTTTATAATTCGGCCAAAGTTAGCAATGTTCTGACCTATTATTGGCATGAGTGTGCACCTATATCACTCAAATTATACAATTATACTAAACCTTACAAATTCTGTCTTACATTATGTTTGGTATAAAGTCATTAATGCACAACAGTTCTGATATGCCCATGAGGTTTGTTAGTACAGCCTTCTCTATGTTAGTTTTATTTACGAATTCTACTTTCTGCCTTTGTGTTGTCTGTGTTATTAAAATACAACCAAATGCTCCGTTTTCATGTCACTTAAATCCGCGCTCCTCTCTGTTCTGTCAGACCACCCCTCCCCATTTAACCTGATGGTACGATCCTTGTCTGACGTCACACCTGATTGGACGCAGGAACACACATCTGTCAAGGCAACATTCAGTCGGAGTGTTAGTTAATATAGTATCGACTGTCGTTCTGTGGTGTATTAACAAACAACACAAAACAACAACCAGAGCAAACTACATCACTACCTGGTAAAACATGAATCGATGCTCTTTACAGTCCTATTGCAAAATGAATTAATTCCACTACTAAGTCCCACTGAATGATTTTTAACATCACTGTGTGCATTGCTAATTGCTACTCAACTGTCTTGGTTGCCTAAATTTCAATCAGAAGATGTGCTCATTTGAAATACAAAAGACCAAACTATCCCGTGGATGGATTCCTGACAAAGTGTAATACTTATAAAGCAATTCTAGTCAGAGGACAATGTTTCAGGGACCCTTTGGCTTCTTAAAGACTTGAAAGCTAATGCTCCATGGTGAGCTCCCATGTATGCAATCTGCAGAAGTCTGTTACTCAAAGCAGGTTAATGCAGGTGTGCATAAACTCCACACACCTATTTATATTAAATATTTATTGTACAATACATTTAAATATATGATTTGGCACTTTACACATTATTAAAATATCCCCATTCTGACCTTACAGAGCATATATCCATATTAAGTACCAGTCAGTTCAATCACATACAGAGATATTTGGTTGGAAATAGATGAAGACTATGTCGAAAAGTCTCCACCTCCTTAGTCCATTACTTGCTGTCATTCCTCTTCGTCTTATCTGCCATAACCCTGTGGGTCATTGGCCTTTTTTGACCCATCCTTCCCTTTTGTTTTGCTTAAGTTGAATAAAGTGTTGGCCAAGTTGTGAATCTGGCATGTCCCAAGGTGGCAACCATGCTGAGGTGTTCGTCGTGGACGTAACTTCACCGCCATGCTGTCAGTGATGAAGGGCAAAATAAAGGATGAAAGTCAAACTTGAGCCTCAAAATGTTAAATGAAACATTTATTAAATAATTGTCAGTTTTTCAATATTGATTTTACTAACAGCTATAATAAGTCAAAGTCAAGTAAACAATTTTATTTGCCCAAAACCGTTAAAAAAAACTTTGACCAACAATGCCTTGCAATAACCTTGCATTACAGTCTACTTCTTTACAATGTGAGAAATAATACAACTGCTTACAGTATGTTTTCAATTTTTATGCTCTTTCACACCTGTGTTTCAGTGCATCCAGGTCTAGATGTTTAACTTCTGAATGAAACGGGGTGATCTTCAGTGCTGGAGCATGCACCTCATGTGTCTCCAATGTCGTTTTTGCCCCTGCAGCCTGGACAGCGTCCCCCGTGAGGACAGTGTCTGCGATGGACCTGTGGATGCAACAGAATGCGGTACTGAATAAAATGCATTTTATGAACAAAACAACTCTGTTAAGATTCATGTAAGATACAGAGAAACAATTATCTAGGGCCCCTTAATTATCCTAACATTCATTATGGCTGCTGTCAGTATTTCTCTTCCGTCATTAGATACTTTTATCTTTCACTGACCTGTGAGTTGGTCTAAGTGGTGAGGCAGCGCTCAGAGGTACAGTCAGCAGCAGCAGAACAGTTATCTCCATACCACCCTGGCCTGTTGCAAAAAAAACAATGGTTGATGCTGTGGAAACATATTGTCCTGATTAGACTCATTCAAATGTTCTTTAGCTTTAATGACATACAAACATAAACATCTTTGACAAGAAAGGTCAACACATATATCTATTATGCATCAGAGGAATCTAAATGATGAAACTTACCACTAAGAAAATGAAATGAAAAACTTGCTGCGGCTTTTTGAGTAAACCGTCAGTCCAGAGGTGCGGATGCTGAATCGACCTTGCTGGTTGTTGGACGTCCTAGTCTGTCATCCCTCTCCACCTCTGGTCCTTTATAGTCTGAGGGGGTGGGACTATAACGTAGTCATTATGATGGAAACTCCTACACTTGCAATCAATCAGTTAAGTTGGCACTTTTTAACCTCTGTTATAAGAACTGTGAATCTATCATAAATAAGCTTTTAACAACTGCATCTAAACACAACTTTGTACCTATTCTTGAAGTGTCTTGTACCTTATGTGACATTGATTCCTATGTTCACTCCTGCCCCCTCCTTCACATCCTCCTCCATCTTTCTTCTCTGCCAGTGCACTTTCTGCTGAGCAATTGTTCTAGAAATTGTTTTTTCATTTCCATCACCTGCAGGAAGCCCTCTGAGCCCAAAATAACCCTTAATTTTCCTCCAGGATTTTCTTTATCACTCCATTCTTCCTGTGTCTTTTCCCTTGAGTCACTTCTGCCTTGATTAAATTATTTCTCACTCACACAAGGGACACACAATAACTATTTTATAAACAAGTTTTTTCATCTCATACTTTTATTCAAAGATATTATTTCTGATACATTTATAGCAGTCAGGGTCAATTTATAGCTTTATTATAATTTAAAATGCCCATGAAATTAAAGATATGGTGAACTTTTCAGAATAACCTCTCTCTAGGAAATGACTGGGTAATATTTTATCTTTTAAATGAATTAGTCACGTTTAATGTTCTCCAACCTCCACATTTTGTTTCTCCCAGCTTCTCTCATTCTCTCTAAATTACAGCTTCCTTTCTCAAGCCCATTGTGCACATTTCCTTTGACTGCCATCTGTGTAGTTTGTGCTGTCAGAGCAGTGCACTGAGTCATCACTGGTGCACGTGCATACCAACACATTGGCAGTGAAATGATAAGTCACGTAGTGTCACATAGAATTAAGTATGGTAAATGGTCTTATACTTGTATAGCGCCTTTCTATGCTTTTACAGCACACTCAAAGCACTTTCACATTATTCAGCCATTCACACTCCCAAGAACTCACACACCGGTGACATCACCGGGAGCAACTGGGGGTACAGTGTCTTGCTCAAGGACACCTCGACATGTTGACTGGGCAAGCCGGGAATCGAACCGCTAATCCTCCAGTTAGGAAACGACCCACTCTACCTCCTGAGCCACAGCCGCCCTGAGACAAGCATAAGCTACTAGCAGGATCAACTGTGTGCTGTTCAATGAATAATTCCTCTTAAAAGGGTGACACTACAGCAGATGTCTATCTGGCAATGCTGTTACCAAAACAATGTCGGACTCCGTACTTTTCTCTGAACACCTACCCAATGTGACCAGTGATGACATGTTTAGCTGCATGTCGTCATTCAACCGCTGGCTGTCTAGGTGGTGCCCAGAAAATAACATGGGCTTCATAGACAACTGGAAAACATTTTGGGGAAAACCTGGTCTGATTAGTAGAGATGGCATCCATCCCACTTTGGGTGGTGCAGCTCTTTTATCTAGAAATCTGGACGAGTTTATTTTACAACCTAAATTATGACAACCCAGAGTTGAGTCCAGGACACAGGGTCGCAGTCTTACATGCCTCTCTGCTGTCTCCTTGCAGCTGCTACCCACCCAACGCTCCCAGTACCCCATAGAGACTGTGTCTGCCCCCCGCCCACCTAAATTATATAAATCAAGAATCAGCTCCAGAGGAGTTATTCATAAGAACCTAATTAAAATTAAGACTACTCCTCTTGTAGTAGAAAGTAATAGGACAATCAAATGTGGTCTAGTAAATATCAGTTCTCTCTCATCTAAATCTCTGTTAGTGGACGATTTGATAAGTGAACATCACATTGACTTATTGTGTCTTACTGAAACATGGTTACAACAGGAAGAACATGTCAGTCTAAATGAATCCACCCCACCAGGTCACAGTAACTGTCACAACCCTCGAAACACAGGCCGAGGTGGAGGTGTAGCAGCGATCTTTGACTCAAGCTTATTAATCAACCCTAGACCTAAACATAGTTATAACTCATTTGAAAGTCTCAGTCTGAGTCTCTCACATCCAAACTGGAAAATTCAAAAGTCAGTTCTATTTGTTATTGTATACTGTCCACCTGCTCCCTATTCACAG